GTGTGTGTGTGCGTGCGTGCGTGCGTGTGTGTGTGTGTGTGTGTGTGTGTGTGTGTGTATGCGTGTGTGCGTGCGTGCGGGTGTGTGTGTGTGTGTGTGCGTGCGTGCGGGTGTGTGTGTGTGTGTCTGTATCTGTGTGTCTCAGTGTGTGTTACAGTGCATGCGTGTGCGTGTGTAGCCTGCCTCAGGTGGTCTGGGGCCAACCAGGGGAACTAGGGAAGGCCATATGGTCTGTGGGCAGCACAGCTGCACAGTGTGGTCTGGTCAGACAGCAAAACCAAGGAGAGCTGTTGTCCGTCTACACGTCCCCTTGTTTTCATGTCCTTCCTGACTGTCGCCCCAGCACCCAGGAGAGTCCCTGTCCGTCTCCATGTACGTCCTCCTGTACGTCACCTCGTCCGTCCCCTCATCGCCCAGGAGATGCCTCGTCCGTCCCCCCATAGCCCAGGAGATGCCTCGTCCGTCCCCTCATAGCCCAGGAGATGCTTTGTCCGTCCCCCCATAGCCCAGGAGATGCCTCATCCGTCCCCCCATAGCCCAGGAGATGCCTCATCCGTCCCCCCATAGCCCAGGAGATGCCTTGTCCGTCCCCTCATCGCCCAAGTGATGCCTCGTACGTCCCCTGTATGTCCTCCTGTACGTCACAAACCGGATCACTCAGAGTTCCAATGCGGCAATTGTATACTTGCCGAGGATTATAGGCTTGAGGTGGCTTCCTTGATCACACAGGTCGCCAGCCTACGTAAGAAACTGGGGAAAACGCAGAGTGGAATGTTTACATTTTCTACGCCGGTGGCTGGACGGCGTTCGCGCTTATTGGATGCAACTCCGCCTTGTAGTTTGTCGTTATCTGACTGGCCGGTGTTGCCCGGTGCTCCCACATCTGATAGCGCCGTCGAAGGAGCACAGCATGAGGAGAAAGGCAATCAACGATGGTCGCATGTCACGAGCCGCGTAAGCCGATGACAGCGGCCTCCCGCAAAGCAGTCTACACTCCCAACGAGAGGCCCGGAGCGGATACAAACAACAAATAGTTTCGCTGGGGGTGCCTGTGTCTGCGGCCGCAGTGCCTACTACTACGATTTCGAAGTCGACGTCGGCAACCTTCCGTCCCTGCTGTGGATCGAGCGGGGCTTCTCCATCTGTCAGAGGCCTGCATCCTGTGAAGCGTGGGAATTGGCGGATTTCCTCGACCTTCTCGCCAGCCGTGATTTTGGGCAGCTCCATGGTAAGAAATGTGACTGTTCCTGGTGCAAAAACAATGTCCTATCCCGGAGCTTGAGTAAATTACATTACTAAGCTGCTTCCGAATGTACTATGCCAGGACATGGAAATTGATTCTATCGTAGTCTATGTGGGTTTTAATGACATTATGAAGGGCAGCTCTGAACAGTTGAAACTGGATTTCAAAGAGCTGATTGACTCTCTGCCAGACACTAACAAAAAACCCATCATATCTGGCCCTGTGCCCTCTCTGAATCGTGGCATTTAACGCTTTAGCAGGATTCTTGCTCTTCACAACTGGCTACGTGATTATTGCAGCTCAATGGGTGTAACTTTTGTTGACAATTTCGATAACTTTTGGAAACAAAACACGTTTTATAAGAAGGATGGGATCCACCCAAATAATTTGGGTTCCTGGATTCTTTCACAGCATTATAAGGCTGCGTTGAAACAATGACTTAGCAATGACCCAAGCCCAGCTCAGCTAATCCTTACCATTGTGACGCTGAGTGGTCAATGCGCTTCAGCAAATGTTACAACAGGGGCGTCGGTAGACATAATATAAGTCACCTAATTTATGTCCCTCTAACTGCCCTGAATGCCTCTGCTGATCCTACAGCTATTGTATGCACTAATCATGTGCCTAAGAACCAGATTTATACTGTTAGCACTGAGCCGGTGTGCCCGAGGAGGAAGTCCACTGTGTGCAGCTCACCCTGCACTAACATAAAGAACATGAGCACATCTACTGCTGCTAAGCTTCCCAGTAAAGCAATAAAAACAAGCAAGCATCCCAGAAGAAAAGTGCTCAAAATAGCCCACGTTAACATATGTAGCTTAAGAAACAAGGTTCATGAAATCAATAATTTGCTAGTAACAGATGACATTCATATTCTGACTATCTCTGAAACTCACTTAGATAATACCTTTGATGATACAGTGGTAGCAATACAAGGTTATAACGTTTACAGAAAATACAGAAATGCCAAAAGTGGAGGTGTTGCTGTTTATATTCAGAACCACATTCCTGTGAAGATTAGAGAGGATCTCATGTTAAATACTGTTGAAGTTATATGGCTACAGGTTCATCTGCCTCACCTAAAGCCAATTCTGGTGGGAAGCTGCTATAGACCACCAAGTGCTAACAGTCAGTATCTGGATAACATGTGTGAAATGCTTGATAATGTATGTAATATCAATAGAGAGGTATACTTTCTGGGTGATTTAAATATTGACTGGCTTTCATCAGTCTGTCCACTCAAGAGAAAGCTTCAAACTATAACCAATGCCTGCAACCTGGTTCAGGTTATCAGTCAACCTACCGGGGTAGTTACAAACAGTACAGGAATGAAATCATCAACATGCATTGATCATATCTTTACTAATGCTGCAGAGATTTGTTTGAAAGCAGTATCCAGATCCATTGGATGTAGTGATCACAATATAGTAGCCATATCTAGGAAATCCAAAGTTCCAAAGGCTGGACCTAATATTGTGTATAAGAGGTCATATATTACGTTTTTGATGTAAAGAATATATGTTGGTCCGTGGTGTGTAATAAGGAGCAAACAGACACTGCACTTGACACATTTATGAAATTGCTTATTCCAGTTATTAATAAGCATGCACCCATTTAAGAAAATTGTTAAATCCCCATGGAATGATGAGGAATTGAAAAATTGTATGGTTGAGAGGGATGAGGCAAAAGGAATGGCAAATAAGTCTGGCTGCACAACCGATTGGCAAACGTATTGCAAATTGAGATATCATGTGACTAAACTGAATAAAAAGAAGAAGAAACTACACTATGAAACCAAGATAGATGACATAAAGAATGCTAGTAAAAAGCTTTGGAGCACCTTAAATGACATTTTGGGAAAAAAGGCAAACTCAGCTCCATCATTCATTGAATCAGATGGCTCATTAATCACAAAACCAACTACTATATTGCCAACTACTTTAATAACTATAACTATATTGCCAACTACTTTAATGATTTTTTCATTGGCAAGATTAGCAAACTACACATCCAAGTATATCTGACCAAATTATGAAAGACAAACGTTGTAATTTTGAATTCCGTAAAGTGAGTGTGGAAGAGGTGAAAAAAGTATTGTAATCAACAATGACAAACGACCGGGGTCTGACAACTTGGATGGAATATTACTGAGGATAATAGCGGACGATATTGCCACTCCTATTTGCCATATCTTCAATTTAAGCCTACTAGAACGTGTGTGCCCCCAGGCTTGGAGGGAAGCAAAAGTCATTCCGCTACCTAAGAATAGTAAAGCCCCCTTTACTGGCTCAAATAACCGACCAATTAGCCTGTTACCAACCTATTGGGAAAAATGGTGTTTGACCAGATACACTGCTATTTTACAGTAAACAAATTGACAACAAACTTTCAGCATGCTTATAGAGAAGGACATTCAACAAGCACAGCACTTACACAAATGACTGATGATTGGCTGAGAGAAATTGATGATAAAAAAGATTGTGGGGGCTGTTTTGTTAAACTTCAGTGTGGCTTTTGACATCATCGATCATAGTCTGCTGCTGGAAAAACATATGTGTTATGGTTTTACTCCACCTGCTATATTGTGGATACAGAGTTACCTATTTAACAGAACACAGAGGGTGTTCTTTAATGGAAGCCTCTCCAACATAATCCAGGTAGAATCAGGAATTCCCCAGGGCAGCTGTCTAGGCCCACGGCAAGCCCATTACTTTTTTCAATCTTTACTAATGACATGCCACTGGCTTTGAGTAAAGCCAGAGTGTCTATGTATGCGGATGACTCAACAATCTACATGTCAGCTACTACAGCGACTGAAATAACTGCAACACTTAACAATGAGTTGCAGTTAGTTTCAGAGTGGGTGGCAAGGAATAAGTTAGTCCTAAATATTTCTAAAACTAAAAGCAGTGTATTTGGAACAAATCATTCACTAAACTCCAAACCTCAATTAAATCTTGTAATAAATAATGTGGAGATTGAGCAAGTTGAGGTGACTAAACTGCTTGGAGTAACACTGGATTGTAAACTGTCATGGTCAAAACATATTGATACAACAGTAGCTAAGATGGGGAGAAGTCTGTCCATAAAAAAGTTCTGCTCTACCTCCTTTACAGCACTAATTTTGCTGGACCCCAGGAAGAGCTAATGGGGTTCCATAATAAATACAAATACAAATACCTTGTCCATCCCCCCATCGCCCAGGAGATGCCTCGTCCGTCCCCCATCGCCCAGGAGATGCCTCGTCCGTCCCCTCATCGCCCAGGAGATGCCTCGTCCGTCCCCCCATAGCCCAGGAGATGCCTCGTCCGTCCCCCCATAGCCCAGGAGATGCCTCGTCCGTCCCCTCATCGCCCAGGAGATGCCTCGTCTGTCCCCCATCGTCCAGGAGATGCCTTGTCAGTCCCCCCATAGCCCAGGAGATGCCTCGTCCGTCCCCTCATCGCCCAGGAGATGCCTCGTCTGTCCCCCATCATCCAGGAGATGCCTCGTCTGTCCCCCATCGTCCAGGAGATGCCTCGTCCATCCCCTCATCACCCAGGAGATGCCTCGTCTGTCCCCCATCGCCCAGGAGATGCCTCGTCTGTCCCCCATCATCCAGGAGATGCCTCGTCCGTCCCCCATCATCCAGGAGATGCCTCGTCCGTCCCCTCATCGCCCAGGAGATGCCTAGTCCGTCCTCCCATCGCCCAGGAGATGCCTAGTCCGTCCCCCATCGCCCAGGAGATGCCTCGTCCATCCCCTCATCACCCAGGAGATGCCTCGTCCGTCCCCCATCGCCCAGGAGATGCCTCATCCGTCCTCCATCGCCCAGGAGATGCCTCGTCCGTCACCCATCGCCCAGGAGATGCCTCGTCCGTCCCCCATCGTCCAGGAGATGCCTCGATGCCTCGTCCGTCCCCCATCGCCCAGGAGATGCCTTGTCCGTCCCCCATCGTCCAGGAGATGCCTCGATGCCTCGTCCGTCCCCTCATCGCCCAGGAGATGCCTAGTCCGTCCTCCCATCGCCCAGGAGATGCCTCGTCCGTCCCCCATCGTCCAGGAGATGCCTCGTCTGTCCCCCATCGCCCAGGAGATGCCTCGTCCGTCCCCCATCGCCCAGGAGATGCCTCGTCCGTCCCCCATCGTCCAGGAGATGCCTCGTCCGTCCCCCATCGTCCAGGAGATGCCTCGTCTGTCCCCCATCGCCCAGGAGATGCCTAGTCCGTCCTCCCATCGCCCAGGAGTCACCTATAACCCTAACCCTAACCCTTGTCCGTCCCTTGTATGTGCTGCTGTATGTCCCCGATTCCCCTAACCCTGACCCTTGTCCGTCCCCACTCCTAGCCCTTACCAAAACATGGCGGAAAATGTTTCTCCCCTCTGATCTAAAACCAGTAGGAACCACAAACGTCAATGGCAATTATCTTAACATTTTAAAGCATATATAATATTCACGCACCCCAATAACATTGTCGCTGAGGAGGGCTTGCTAGCTAGCTTCAGAGTTTGAGTCACCTCGGCTGTTTTCTTATAAAACAGCTCAGCTAGCAACGCTAGCTAGCTAACATTAGGTAGACTGTTTCTAGACTCAGTAGGTCATCAAAGGCTTCAGGAGCCAGATGGTTGGATATGGGGGCTTCAGTAGCCAGTGGGTTAGATATGGGGGCTTCAGGAGCCAGATGGTTGGATATGGGGGCTTCAGGAGCCAGCTGGTTAGATATGGGGGCTTCAGTAGCCAGTGGGTTAGATATGGGGGCTTCAGGAGCCAGATGGTTGGATATGGGGGCTTCAGTAGCCAGTGGGTTAGATATGGGGGCTTCAGGAGCCAGATGGTTGGATATGGGGGCTTCAGGAGCCAGCTGGTTAGATATGGGGGCTTCAGTAGCCAGTGGGTTAGATATGGGGGCTTCAGGAGCCAGATGGTTGGATATGGGGGCTTCAGGAGCCAGCTGGTTAGATATGGGGGCTTCAGTAGCCAGCTGGTTGGATATGGGGGCTTCAGGAGCCAGCTGGTTGGATATGGGGGCTTCAGGAGCCAGCGGGTTAGATATGGGGGCTTCAGGAGCCAGTGGGTTAGATATGGGGGCTTCAGGAGTCAAATGGTTAGATATGGGGGCTTCAGGAGCCAACTGGTTAGATATGGGGGCTTCAGGAGACAGTTTGTTAGATATGGGGGCTTCAGGAGACAGTTGGTTAGATATGGGGCTTCAGGAGCCAAATGGTTAGGTATGGGGGCTTCAGGAGACAGTTGGTTAGATATGGGGGCTTCAGGAGACAGTTGGTTAGATATGGGGGCTTCAGGAGACAGTTGGTTAGATATGGGGGCTTCAGGAGACAGTTGGTTAGATATGGGGGCCTCAGGAGACAGTTGTTTAGATATGGGGGCTTCAGGAGCCAGCTGGTTAGATATGGGGGCTTCAGGAGCCAGTTGGTTAGATATGGGGGCTTCAGGAGCCAGCTGGTTAGATATGGGGGCTTCAGGAGCCAGTTGGTTAGATATGGGGGCTTCAGGAGCCAGCTGGTTAGATATGGGGGCTTCAGGAGCCAGCTGGTTAGATATGGGGGCTTCAGGAGCCAGCTGGTTGGATATGGGGGCTTCAGGAGCCAGCTGGTTGGATATGGGGGCTTCAGGAGCCAGCGGGTTAGATATGGGGGCTTCAGGAGCCAGCGGGTTAGATATGGGGGCTTCAGGAGACAGTTGGTTAGATATGGGGGCTTCAGGAGACAGTTGGTTAGATATGGGGGCTTCAGGAGACAGTTGGTTAGATATGGGGGCTTCAGGAGCCAACTGGTTAGATATGGGGGCTTCAGGAGACAGTTGGTTAGATATGGGGGCTTCAGGAGACAGTTGGTTAGATATGGGGGCTTCAGGAGACAGTTGGTTAGATATGGGGGCTTCAGGAGCCAACTGGTTAGATATGGGGGCTTCAGGAGACAGTTGGTTAGATATGGGGGCTTCAGGAGACAGTTGGTTAGATATGGGGGCTTCAGGAGCCAGCTGGTTAGATATGGGGGCTTCAGGAGCCAGTTGGTTAGATATGGGGGCTTCAGGAGCCAGCTGGTTAGATATGGGGGCTTCAGGAGCCAGCTGGTTAGATATGGGGGCTTCAGGAGCCAGCTGGTTGGATATGGGGGCTTCAGGAGCCAGCTGGTTGGATATGGGGGCTTCAGGAGCCAGCGGGTTAGATATGGGGGCTTCAGGAGCCAGCGGGTTAGATATGGGGGCTTCAGGAGACAGTTGGTTAGATATGGGGGCTTCAGGAGACAGTTGGTTAGATATGGGGGCTTCAGGAGACAGTTGGTTAGATATGGGGGCTTCAGGAGCCAACTGGTTAGATATGGGGGCTTCAGGAGACAGTTGGTTAGATATGGGGGCTTCAGGAGACAGTTGGTTAGATATGGGGGCTTCAGGAGACAGTTGGTTAGATATGGGGGCTTCAGGAGCCAACTGGTTAGATATGGGGGCTTCAGGAGACAGTTGGTTAGATATGGGGGCTTCAGGAGACAGTTGGTTAGATATGGGGGCTTCAGGAGACAGTTGGTTAGATATGGGGCCTCAGGAGACAGTTGTTTAGATATGGGGGCTTCAGGAGCCAGCTGGTTAGATATGGGGGCTTCAGGAGCCAGTTGGTTAGATATGGGGGCTTCAGGAGCCAGCTGGTTAGATATGGGGGCTTCAGGAGCCAGTTGGTTAGATATGGGGGCTTCAGGAGCCAGCTGGTTAGATATGATTCTACTAGTTAGTTAGACATTGGCCATGCAGTATCTAACTAGCTAGGTAACAGTTAGATAATCATGGATGCCAAACGACGACGCTAGCTAGACTCGGGAGCTCATGGGCAACAATAGCCAACTGGTTACACATGATCACGCCATGGGCTACAATAAGCTACTAGTTTGTTTTCAGAAAATTAGTTCAACTGATAGTTAGTTTATCCACTGACCACTGCATTTAGGAGGATAGCTAAATTAGGCCTATTGAAATGCAGCTAGCTAGCTCACTGGCTAACCACTACTACCCAGATAATCGTTGATTACCTATTCTTTGATAGATTTGGGTTAACTTGCTCATGTCAAGCAACAGACAGTTTGTGGAAAGGTAAAAATAACAATTAGTGGACTCGTTTTATGAATGATCGGACTGTGTAAACTTAAATAGCTAGCTGGTGAGGCTTTCATTTATTTCCCGATTAATTAAGCTGAAGCTGGGTATCCCAAGTCGTTCGGTGCTTACTGCTCATGCCGGCGAGCAATCTACCGACGGCTTTGCAGCTCATCTGTGTGACGTCACACACCCAAGAAGTCTCAACCAATCACAGACATAACTCATGAATATTAATGACTTTGCCTACGGCTATTCTACAAAAGGGTTTTTTGCGTCCTGTCCCCCCCCTCCATCTCCCTGACCTCCTGTCCACCCCCCTGTACCCCATCCCTCCCTGTCCTCCCATCCCCTATCCCCATGTACCTCCCCTCCACCCGTCCTCCTGTCCATCCCACCGTCTGACCTCCTGTCCTTCCCACTTGACTGTCCCCGACCCCTTGCCCTCCCCATGTTGCTCCAGCACCCAAGAGAGGTCCTGTCCATCCCCCTGTCCTTCCCACTTGATTGTCCACCTTGACTATCCTCCCCATCTCCCTGCCCCCCTGCCCCTCTAGCCACCCGTTCCTCCTTCAGCAGACCACCTGCAGTAGAGGTCCTTGGAGATAGGGAGTGGTCCTTTCTCCGACATTAGACTGATGTTGAGTGGCTGTGTGATGGCAGGTTGACAGGCTTCATTCAGGGTCTGGGACTCGTTGAAGGAGGACATAGCAGGGCTGTCATACTATTTATAATGTTCTTTATGGAAACAGGAGTTTTGGGGATTGAAAGAGTATCTACGATTGTCGTACATACCTATTGTACTCTGATGCAAGGTCACGCTAGATAATCTTGTGTGTGTATTGACCACCAAATTACTAAATATCCCCACCATTTGTTTAGATGAAGATTGACGCAAACATCACCTATTGAATGGTCTTAACGAATAGTTTTAACAAATGGTCTTAACGAATGGTCTTAACGAATGGGACACATACAGTACACACACCAACCCAGCACTGTATCACAGAACTGGAATAGATCCAGAACACACCAACACAGCACTGTAACTCAGAACAGGAATAGATCCAGAACACTGGAATAGATCCAGCACTGTACCCAGTAGCGATTCGGTGGGGAAAACCCGCCCAAAATTTTGGGATGCATGCCAGCGAAGCCACTACACAAGACACCACTAAAACAATACATTAAATGCACTACAACGGTGACAAACAGTGATTAATTCCCACTAACTGTTAGGGCCTACATAAAGCTGTCCTGACAGCGTAGGTGTTGTTACAGCACCATGGAGTGAAACCTTACCACCGCTACACCTGGCTATCAGCGGAGCCTCGTCTGGCAGCGAAAAACAGTTCATTCAGCCTCATTTACTGTTTTTTTTTTTTTTTTTTTTTTTTTAATAACCGTAGCTGATATGGCTGACTTGCTTAAGTAAATTTGGTTTTTCTACTGACTCCTTTTGGATTTGTTTTAAGTCGATAAGAACTGCATTCTCTTTCAATAATAACGATTGCCAACATGACCTTTGAACCATACACAAACATTATTACATTCATGATTAGTAAATTCATAATGTTTGTTGTTATATCATTATTAACACTTTGCTCTGAGTATAAGTGAGTACAAGCCTTCATTCAGCACTTTCAAAATGGACAGCGACAGAAATTCAGATAGATGTTAGTTCAGATCAATTATTTTAATAGTTACAGTATTTTATTGTGAATAACTTGTCATGACAACCCACTTTGTTTTCTATTGTATAAAAAAAAACTAAAATAACAATAATAATAAATTATCCTTCTGTTCAAAATAATTTCAAATGACTCCAAAAACCAGGTTTCACTGAGAGAAAAATCCCCAGATTTGTCATTTGTGGCACTGTGATGTTTTCTCTTCAGTGATTATCCTGTCCAAGTTTTGAAGTTCTTAAGACAGTTTCTCAGTACAGACTATAATCAGAACAAGTATATCTGCCAAGGTACACAAACACACACACACACACACACACACACACACACACACACACACACACACACACACACACACTCTCTCTCTCAGCTTGGAGATAACTCAGCTGAACATAGGAGCATTAGGTCTGGGAGAGAGAAGTGACGGCAAACACACAAAGCTGCTCTCTTTCTCCTCTCTCTGCTAAGGACCCCCACCGGGAGGTGAACAGACTGCTCTCCTTCTCCTCTCTCTGCTAAGGACCCCCACCGGGAGGTGAACAGACTGCTCTCCTTCTCCTCTCTCTGCTAAGGACCCCCACCGGGAGGTGAACAGACTGCTCTCCTTCTCCTCTCTCTGCTAAGGACCCCCACCGGGAGGTGAACAGACTGCTCTCCTTCTCCTCTCTCTGCTAAGGACCCCCACCAGGAGGTGAACAGACTGCTCTCCTTCTCCTCTCTCTGCTAAGGACCCCCACCGGGAGGTAAACCCAACCATGCAGGTTGTCTGAGCTGTAGCATCTGATGCACAGGCATCCACATCACACACACACACACACACACACACACACACACACACACACACACACACTGCTGAATGTTTACAGAGTGATACTGTACAGTATATATATTAATATGAACTGCTGAATGTTTACAGAGTGGGCGACAGGTAGCTTAGTGGGTAAGAGCGTTGTGCCAGTAACCGAAAGGTCGCTGGTTCTAATCCCCGAGCCGACTAGGTGAAAAATCTGTCGATGTGCCCTTAAGCAAGGCACTTAACCCTAATTGCTCATGTAAGTCGCTCTGGATAAGAGCGTCTGCTAAAATGTATATATCTTTAAATGAACTGCTGAATGTTTAAAGAGTGATGCTGGATATATCTTTATATGAACTGCTGAATGTTTACAGAGTGATGTGTGTGAGTTGTCTGGCCCTTAAAAAATATTCCCTGAGGGTTGTGGTCGGCCTATCCTGAATTATTAAATACTATCAAAGTATTGGAGCAGAAAGATATCTTTAACATTTGAAGAGTTTAATTCCAAAATGCTATATCCACCCCTCAAAAAAAAAAATCATCAGAAATGTTTGCTTATGGGTACTTTCATGTGTGTGTAAAGTATTACTGTTCTCAGATGTTTTATTCACATATTTTAGATGTGTATGAAAATTTGTTTAGCTGGAATGGAATGTTTGTATCCTGTATATTTGACTGTGATATGTGGTTGTCCCCACCTAGTTATCTTAAGATGAATGCACTGTAAGTCGCTCTGGATAAGAGCATCTGCTAAATGACTAAAATGTAAATGTTTTACATACAGATATGATATTACTGTATTTAAAACAAAATTTTAAAAGATATTGACGTCACAAATGTATCATTTGTACATTTCTTTATTTAAAATGTAGTTATTTGTTACATTTGACTGTGTAAAACCTAGCAGTACTACTTATTTCTCTGCGAGTGAGGCGGATATATAGTATTTTGCACAAAAAAAAAACTGATTATTTGTCTCTGAAATTAAACCATCAGGTGATAGATTTAAAACAAATACATGTCTGTCATTGAACAACACCATGCCATGATTAGATAGTGAAAAAACACACCTATATCTTTCATAATGTCTTTAAACAATACAAAGCTAATGTACCAACATTTCCAAAAATGTACACGTAGCGTTTTGGAATTAAACTCTTCATTTGCACGTGATATTTGACAGGTCGGTTTACATACATGAAACATATTAGTCTCCAAATCACCATGAATCCATGCTTTGATTCGATGCTTTGATTCAAATTGTTTGCTTTCACTATATTATATAAATAAACTAGGCTTTTCCCCTTTTCCCATATAGTGTGTTTTATCAAGGAGACCTCATTGTTCCTTGGCTAAACACTAACTACTGTATGACTCCCAACCCCCCTGTGGTACAGCTTGAAGTGCCCACACCCAACAGGTTCACACAGACAAGATTATTATTATAAAAGTATTGTTTTCAACGGGGACATCTTGTTCTGAGCTTTAAAACTCTGTATGAAACACAACACGATTAATTAAATATCGCAGGGACGTAAATAATTTGTTAAGAACAAGAACTAAGGTCATAAGAGACCTTTTTTTTTTTATGTCTTACATCTGGCCATTCCTTCTGCATGGTTTCTCTCAGTTCTTACTAGCTGTGATAAATGTAGACAGTGAGGTCCCTACCCACTGGACACACACACGTCATTTCAATATCTAGTTTTTTGATTGAATTTTGGTTGAGTTGTCAGCTATCGTCAACTCAACGTGAGATCAACAAAACATGTCACCATGTCATTGGATTTATGTTAAAAGTTGGGAGAAAAAAAAATACAAAATTCCCTTATTTTGGTGCCTTTTAGCTAGGCCAATCCATGTTGATTCAACATCATCACATTGCATTTCTTTTTGTTAAAATGATTTGGAAACAACATTGATTCATCACTTTTTGCCCAGTGGGAAGCAAGGGGTAAGACAATAGAAAGGTTCCACTACTATGCTGTATGATATCTCCATTCATTTCAGAGTTATACACATTATATTTTATTAAGTTCTATCCTCTATTATCGCTACATGAAGAAAGTTGTTTAATTTTTCCTGTTTTGGATAAAGAGAGCATGTGTCATCATGGATGATAATGTAAGATATGGATAATGTATGATACAGATAATGTAAGATAGGGATAATGTATGATACCAATCATGTAAGGTACAGATAGTGTAATATGCAGATAATGTAAGATACAGATAATGTAAGATACGGATAATGTATGATACCAATCATGTAAGGTACAGATAGTGTAATATGCAGATAATGTAAGATACAGATAATGTAAGATCCGGATAATGTATGATACCAATCATGTAAGGTACAGATAGTATAATATGCAGATAATGTAATATACAGATAGTGTAATATGCAGATAATGTAAGCTGCAGATAATATATGATATATGACACGGATAAATGTATGATATAATGTTTTCACACAAGTACTAGGGTTGTTTGTTTGCTCTCCTCATCCTCCTCCAAAAACTATCACTCACTCCAAAACAGAACAGAGAAGTCAAGACAGAAGCTGTAACTGAATGGAGTTGCAGTTTGAGTGGCACTGAGAGATGGGGACAAAGAGACGCCCATAGCCTTAAATAACAGGGTGCAAATGGACATCCTCCATACTGAGTTACACAGCTGAATCATCCCTGCAGCTTGACGTATAGGGGCCATATTGTATTGTATAGAAACTCACTATATTGTAACTCACTATATTGTAACTCACTATATTGTAACTCACTATATTGTAACTCACTATAATGTAACTCACTATATTGTAACTCACTATATTGTAACTCACTATAATGTAACTCACTATAATGTAACTCACTATATTGTAACTCACTATATTGTAACTCACTATATTGTAACTCACTATATTGTAACTCACTATATTGTAACTCACTATATTGTAACTCACTATATTGTAACTCACTATATTGTAACTCACTATATTGTAACTCACTATAATGTAACTCACTATATTGTAACTCACTATATTGTAACTCACTATATGTAACTCACTATATTGTAACTCACTATATTGTAACTCACTATATTGTAACTCCTATAATGTTAAACTCACTATAATGTAACTCACTATATTGTAACTCACTATATTGTAACTCACTATATTGTAACTCACTATATGTAACTCCATATTGTAACTCACTATATTGTAACTCACTATATTGTAACTCACTTATTGTAAACTCACTATATTGTAACCACTATATTGTAACTCACTATATTGTAACTCACTATAATGTAACTCACTATATTGTAACTCACTATATTGTAACTCACTATATTGTAACTCACTATATTGTAACTCACTATATTGTAACTCACTATATTGTAACTCACTATATTGTAACTCACTATATTGTAACTCACTATATTGTAACTCACTATATTGTAACTCACTATATTGTAACTCACTATATTGTAACTCACTATAATGTAACTCACTATATTGTAAACTCACTATATTGTAACTCACTATAATTGTAACTCACTATATGTAATCACTATATTGTAACTCACTATATTGTAACTCACTATAATGTAACTCACTATATTGTAACTCACTATATTGTAACTCACTATATTGTAACTCACTATATTGTAACTCACTATATTGTAACTCACTATATTGTAACTCACTATATTGTAACTCACTATAATGTAACTCACTATATTGTAACTCACTATATTGTAACTCACTATAATGTAACTCACTATATTGTAACTCACTATATTGTAACTCACTATAATGTAACTCACTATATTGTAACTCACTATATTGTAACTCACTATATTGGTAACTCAATATATTGTAACTCACTATATTGTAACTCACTAAATTGTAACTCACTATATAGAAACTCACTATATTGTAACTCACTATATTGTAACTCACTATATTGTAACTCACTATATTGTAACTCACTATAATGTAACTCACTATAATGTAACTCACTATATTGTAACTCACTATATTGTAACTCACTATATGTAACTCACTATATGTACTCACTATAATGTAATCACATATTGTGACTCACTATAATGTAACTCACTATAAATTTTAACCATATATTTGTAACTCACTATATTTTACTCACTATGAACTCACTATATTGTAACTCCCCTATATTGTAACTCCACTATATTTTAACTCACTATATGTGACTCACTATATTGTAACCACTATATTGTACTCACTATATTGTAACCCCACTATTTTGTAACTCAATATTGTGACTCCCCTATATTTTAACTCACTATATTGTAACTCACTATATTTAACTCACTATATTGTGACTCACTATATTGTAACTCACTATATTGTAACTCACTATATTGTAACTCACTATATTGTAACTCACTATAATGTAACTCACTATATTGTAACTCACTATATTGTAACTCACTATAATGTAACTCACTATATTGTGACTCACTATAATGTATACTCACTATATGTAACTCACTATATTTTAACTCACTATATTGTAAACTCCTATATTGTAACTCACTATATGTAACTCACTATAATGTAACTCACTATAATGTAACTCACTATATTGTAACTCACTATATTGTAACTCACTATATTGTAACTCACTAATAAGATGTAACTCACTATATATGTAACTCACTATATGTTACTCACTATATTGTAACTCACTATATGTAACTCACTATATTGTAACTCACTATATTGTACTCAATATAATGTAACTCACTATATTGTAACTCACTATATTGGTGACTCACTATATTGTAACTCACTATATTGTAACTCACTATATTGTAACTCACTATATTGTAACTCACTATATTGTAACTCACTATATTGTAACTCACTATAATGTAACTCACATATGTACT